CACTACCGCCGAACCCCAGGTCGGTCGGCCATATAGATTATATCATTGGACTCCTTATGCAATGTACTTTCATTTTATATTGTCAAATCCCGATTGCCAGCTTAGCCGAATCTCGTCATCGTACTTTGATTTATTTATTAAAAGAGCATATTTTTCAAATATTTATTAAATTATTGGTTAAAATGTTATAAACATTTAAAGAGAATTTTAAATTAAATCCAAATTTTTCACTATTTGTTATAATAATATAAATATTTATAACACTTTAGATATTGACCGGTCAGTATTTGTTGTTTAATTAATAATAAATTTATTTATAGATTATTTTGTAAATCATTGACTGATTATATTTTCAATTTAGGTAATTATTTACGACTTTTGGCAAATTTCAAATTCAATTGTGCCGATTGTGCGGACAATCCTATCGACACAACGACAACCACTTCACCGTTGCTTTAATTGCAATATTTACTATAAATAAACTTATAACTTATAAATGTTATGAAGTTAGGTTAGGCTGGGTTAGATTCTATTTGGAAACTAAATTGGCATAATTATAACATTATTTGCCTATATTAGATTTTTATTTTTAATAATTTTGTATACATTTATACATTTTATTATAAATAAAATTTATTTGGCAATCAAATAATACAGTTTGATTTTTTTTATTAATATTTTAAAAATTAAGGTTGAAAATTAATTACATTTATAAAATAAAAATATACGAAATTACAATATAACTGTTGAGTTTCGTAAAATGTTGTTAAGTTTTAAGTTTTGTTAAATATAATAAGAATTAAAATATGAGAACCATTTGAATATTAAAAACATGCAAACAATTTACACGTGTTATGATAGTGTTATACTTTACAAAGATTGATTTTTGAAACTGTGATATTTTTTAAACTTAATTTTTTGAACACTATTTACGAGATCTTTAATTCGTAGAATGCATACACAATCTGGCGATTGATTTATTAAATTACTAAGAAATAAGAAATATTTTGGATTTATATCATGATAATTAGCGCATGTGTTTATTTAACATATTTATCTTAAATAAACTCAATTAGTTAATTGATTGATTGGCTACCAAATGCAATATGATATAACATAAATCAAATAATCAACGAACTATATTGTTCAGTACAATCTAGTAGTTAGGAAATTTTTATTATCTAGATATTAAAAAGTGCGTTAGGTGTTAGAAATGTAAGCGTGTTAAATTATTACAAAAAATTACTGTATAAACATTTACAAAGAATTAAATCGAAACATTTCCGATGAATTTTGTAGTAATAAATAAAACAATATTTTCAATGTGATAATATCAATCTGATATATTGATTAGAAATTAATTTGTGGTCATTTTGCAAATTTAGTTAGAATTACATTTGTTTATATAATATTAAAGTATATAAACTGAGAGACCAATTTTAAAATTTTATCCAAACTAAGAATATTCATGAAATTAAATTTTCTAATATTAACATTTTAATAAATTATTATTCTTGAAAATGAATTTTTCAATTATTTTATTTGTTGTGTTTGCCTGTTATGCACAAAATGTGTATTCACTAAAGTATGTATTAATTTATTTTCAACTCAATTATACGTTTAAAATATGTTAACAATTATAGCGCAAAAGTCGACTCAATGAAGGGCTTTAAAGCCATCACAAGCTCTGAAAATTACGATAAGGATATGCGACCAAAATTAGGGGGTATTTGTTTTATAAAGTTGACTTTAATATGCTATAGATATTCAAATATAAACTATTTTATAATATATAAATTACATAGAAGATAGCCCTGTTCAAGTTAACATTTCCATGTATGTACTCGACTATACATTTAATCCAATTAAGAGGGTTTGTAAAAATTTTGTTTAAAAATTTAATATTACTCAACAATTAAGTTATGTTAAAATAATATACTTGTATAGGAAATGAATGCACACATGTATTTCCGTCAGAAGTGGAACGATCCCCGACTAGTGTCTCAAGAGATTACCGCCGATGTTGTGGGCGGAGAGTCACTGGCGAACCGGGTTTGGATTCCCGACACATTCTTTGCCAATTCAATGCAAGTGTTGGCCACTAAATACCCGATGCGTAACGCATTCCTTATGGTTAAACCAAATGGTGATGTTATGCATAGCGAGAGGTGAATATGATTTTAAGTGCAATTTAATGGTTACTTTTATTAACTATTATTAAAAATATTTTTAAGACTTCAAGTGTTGTTTCGTTGCGGACCCAAAGTGTCGATGAAAACCGATGAATGCACTCTTGAAATGGAGTCGTGTAAGCTCTAATATTACATAATATAACATTAATTTACAACGTTAATAACTAATATACTATATGTCAATTTTATTAATTCAGATGGATTTAGTAATTTGGATATAAAGTATGATTGGGCCAAAGCTAATAAGTCAGTTATGTTTGCCTCGACTTCGACTCATCACAATCAATATAAACTGACTCAAGCTTTGGGCAAAAATCAAATGATCAGTTTGTCAACCGGTCAGTACTTTTACTTAATTAATATTGAAATTATTTTGTAAACATTTTACTGATTATATTTTCAATTTAGGAAATTATTCGCGACTTTTGGTACATTTCAAACTCATTTGCAACGATTGTGCGGACGATTCAGTCGACACAATGAAACCCACTTCAGAATCTATTACTATATTTAATTAATTGGAATAATTAAATATAATATTTACTATAATCTTACTTTATCTTATATAACTTTGATAGTTTAACTACGAATAACTTCGTATAACTAGATTAAATTCACTATTAAAACTATTGAAACTGATTAGTTCAAAAATAATATTGTTTTGCTTAATATTAGATTTTTATTTTATTGATTTTTAAAAAAAATTTATACAATTTATTATAAAAAAAAATTTATTTGACAATCAAATAATGCGTTTTATTGTTTCATTAATGTTTATATCATTAACAGCCAGAGCCTCAAATAATTAGACGTGATTGTTTTTTGTTTAAACTTGGCAATCTTTGAAAACAATGTACAAATGTTACGCTTTAAAATTATACAATGCCCTTAAATAAATGTTTAAATAAATGTCTTAAGTTTAATTATAATACCATCAACCATATCAATGTTAGAGCATTAGGGTAACATGTAAATCTCGAAGATTTATATTTTAACCATTAAGTTTAAAAATGGAATTTATTAAATTAACATTATATTATAATAACAAAGTATCGTAGGATTTTAGTAACTTTAAAATTTGCTTTTATATTTTTACTTAATCCGTTATATACAGTATATAGAAACTTATTAAATCATGATTGATATGAGACTAAATATGAGAGACCTATGATAATTAAATAAATAATGGTCAAAACAACTCGTAAACATAGTGTACACATTCTGAATTCTATGGTCAAATGTTAACTATTAAGAATTAATATTTCAATTGTTTACAAAATTATAACATTTAATAAAATGAGTTAACATTCAATTGTCACGTCTTTGCCGTTTAATTGTTAAGTATTTCCCAACCCTTGAAAACACATATCATAAGAGGTTTAAAACATTTTATGGTTTTAAACCTCAATTTCTCAGAATATTTTAAGGAATAATTCTCATAATTCTGATACTTTAATTTCGTGGAATTAACACCATTTAGCTAATAAATATATAACAACACAACTCTAGATATTAATAATAATGTATTAGATTACCAAGAAATATTTTGGACATATTTATTAATATTATCAAATGTGTTTATTTAAAATAATTATCTTAAATAAACTTAAATGGATTGATTGATTACAAAATGCAATAAATCATATGTTTTACAATTTAAATAAACTGAAAAACGTTATCATCAAAAATATATTATATATTGAATTATTGCCCAAAAAATTATAGACATTTACAGAGAATTTCAAATTAGATTTAAACGTTTCCAATGAATTCTGTAATAATTTTTTTAATAATAATAATATACAGTATAAATATTTACAATCAAACAATTTGTAATATATTCTATTAATTAGTTATAATTGTTGATAATTTGGCAAAATTAATTAGAATTATAATTTATTTATTTAAAAATAAAGTATAAAACCGGGACTCAATTGTGAAATTTTATTCAATCCAAGAATATTCAAACACTTGAAAACTCTATAAACTTATTATTTTTAAAAATGAATTTTTCAATTATTTTATTCGTTGTGTTTGCCTGTTATACACAATATGCATATTCACTAAAGTATGTATAAATTATATTTACTTGAATTTTATTTTATATGTAATATTTTCTAATATGCCTATTATTGTAGTGCGAAAGTTGGTTCAGTGAAGGGCTTAAAAGCCATCACAGACTCTGAAATCTACGACAAAGACATCCGACCGAAATTGGGTTAGTTTTTATATGCTATTTACTCCCAATTTACATGACTAACGATACTATAATATATGCATAGGAGATGGCCCTGTTCAAGTTAACATTAGTATGCATGTGATTGACTACACTTTTGATCCGATCAAAAGGGTTTGTGAATATAATTTATAAATATTTAAAAATTAATAAACACTTTAATTTTATGAATGATTAGGAGATGAATACAAACATGTATTTCCGTCAAAAGTGGAACGATCCCCGACTCGTCTCTCAGGCCATTACCGTCGATGTTGTGGGCGGAGAGTCACTCGTAAATCGGGTGTGGATTCCCGACACATTCTTTGCCAATTCAGTGGAAGTATTGGCCAACAAATACCCGAAGCGTAACTCATTTCTTAGGGTAGAGCCGAACGGAAATGTCTTCTACAGCGAAAAGTTAGTTGTCTTTAACGCAGAATTTAGCCACAATTTTAATAATATATTATATTATTTAGACTCCGAGTGATGTTTCGTTGTGGAGCTAAGGTGTCGGCCAAAAACGATGAGTGCAATCTTGAAATGGAGTCATGTTAGTTCTTATTTAATTCTATGATTGTACATTGAATGGCATTCACCAATACGTTAATTGTATTATTTCAGATGGATTTAGCAAGTTGGATGTGGAGTACGATTGGACTAAGGCTAATAGATCAATTGGATTTGACCCTCAATCCGTTCATCACAATCAATATAAATTAACTCAAATTTTGGCCAAGAATGAAATGGTTAAATTATCATCAGGTTAGTACTTTTAATTTATAAATTACAATTTGGCAAACATTTAATTAATTCTCTTTTAATAATAAGGAAATTATTCACGAATTTTGGCAAATTTCAAACTTGATTGCAAGGATTGTGCGGATAAATCACGTTTGATATTAAAGTTGGACAATATTGTTTGAACTATATTGTTATCTCAATAATAACGTTTTATGTTGTAGTTTATGCTTATTAGTTATTAAAAATTTTATTGTGCAAACAAATTGATAACTTTGATTGTTTTATCATTTAATTCATTTACGAGTATAAAAATATGAACAATTATGCCCTAATATTATCAATATATTAAAGTATTAATATAATTGAAATCTTATTAAATATACTATTATTACAATAGAATAAATTAATAAATATATAAATAAACAAATATTTTTATACTCATTTAACAAATATATAATTTTGTAACTGAATATATTATGTAGTTCTTCAACGGAATTTTAAAATTAACAAATAATTTGTCAATATTTATAGTTCTAATAAAGGAGGCAATGAAAAGTATTGATTAATTGTATGTTATTCATAAACACAACTGTTTTGAAGTGATTGGTTGTTAATTTGTTAAATGTTGGGAGTTTCATCAATAAACGACAAATTTAATAAAGTAATCAAAATCTATAATACCTGTAATACTAGTATATAAAATAATAAATGACTTATATTTGGAAAAATTTCCTAAAATATTTCTTTTTTGCCAATTACTACTCCCTTATTATTTTAATAAACAAAATATTATTTTTATCGCAAATATGAAATAAATATTAGATTATAATTTATTCAATTAGTTATAATTGGAGCTGTATTATACGATTAGCAGATATTTCCAGAATTACCAATTACCAATAGATAATTGTTTTTAAAATTAATGCTTATTATTAATTATATTTTAATTATTGACTAGAATTAGTTGATAATTGTAAATGACCATTATTTACATTCTTGTTTCCTAACAGCAAAATCTAATTCTGAAGTATTAAAAATGAATGTTTCAATTGTTGTATTAGTTGTATTTGTTTTCTCTGCTCCAAAGATATTGTGTCAATTGTCAATCAATTCTTTAAAGTGAGTTTATGTGAATTGAATTCATTTTATAAATATTATAATCAAATCATTGAAATTTAATGTCAGCCCAAAAACGGCTGCATTGAAGGCCTTCAAAGAAAAGACGAGTCCAGAGCTCTACGATAAAACCCTTCGACCAAACTTAACAGGTATTATATTATACACTATTTATAATACCTATAGACACTAATTATATAGTTATTTATGATTATACTGTATTACAGGCGACCCGGTTCGAATAAACATTAGTATGTACATTATCGATTATGCATTTGATCCGATCAAAAGGGTTTGCATTAGTTTTAATAATTATATTATTCACAAAAATGCAAATTTATTGATTGTCTTGTAATGAATAGGAAATGAGAGCAAACATGTATTATCGGCAGCTGTGGAACGATCCTCGACTGGTCTCTCAAAACATTGCGGTCAATATAATAGGCGGTCAGTCGTTGGTAGACCGGGTTTGGATACCCGACACGTTCTTTGCCAACTCATTGGATGTGTTGGATAACAAATATCCGGCCTATATTCCGGCCATTGCTTAGGGTTGAGCCAAACGGCAATATTCTTTATAGCCTGAAGTTTGTGACAATCATTTGACCAGAAAAACAATATGTGAAATAATTGCTTAAATTAATACATTTTTAATTTGTTTGTTAATCAGAATCCAAGTTTTGTTCCGATGTAGTGCTCGAGTGTCCATCAAAACGGATGAATGCAATCTACAAATAGAGTCGTGTAAATGTTTATGTCATTTAAATTAGTTTATTACTAGTTCTTAATTTAACATTTGCTATGAAATAGACGGTTACACTATGGATGATATAGTTTACGGCTGGTCCAAAGGCGGCGTTAAATTAGGCAAGAATGTCGATAATAATAGCAAGTATAAAGTGGTTGAACAAATGATCAATCTATCGAGTGGTTTGCCTATTATTTATTTACCTATTTATTACTTATTTGATTTTATTGATTTTTAATTGGTTTTATTTGAGAATTTATTAATAAGTAATTCTACCATTTAATAAGGAAATTATTTGCGGCTTTTGGTCGATTTTAAGCTCAAATGTATTGATTGTACGGACAATGAAGTGGTCGACAACACAACATCATTCATTAAATAACTATCAATTTTCTGTTTTAATTTTATTAGTAGAATAATTGTATTGAAATAGATTCATTGATATGTTTTTACTTTATTGTTATAATAATGTTATAATACATGTATATTATTTTTAACCCTAAAAATTGTTAACTAATTGCTTTGCTGTCCAATATTTGTTAATAAATATAAAATAATGAATTTGTAATTAATGTCTGACACTTTTATAAAAATTTTTATATTAAACAAAGTTATTTTGTGCATTTTTAAAAATATTGCTAGAAATATACTCAAGATTCAATTAAAACTAATTACAGAGTAATCAATATAAACATATAATATAATTTTATAACTAAAGTTTATATAAACACTTTACTTTAACAATTTTATATTTCTTTGAAAAATGCAAAGGTTCATTTGATTTTCAATATAATTGTGCTTTATAAATAAATCCAGAGAAATATAAATCATAATATGATAATGTAATTAAATAAAACTTTTTACCATTATATTTCACGTTAAATTTTAAGGTCAACTTATATAGATTTATACAAACTGTCCGTTAATTACATTAAATAGAGAATCTTATGATTGATTTATACAATTTCCAAGAAAACGTTTTTATTCCCAAAATATGTTTATTTAAAATAATTATCATTAAATATGCTTAATTGGGTTGATTGGCTATCAAATGCAATATGATATAACTTCATATAAACAATATTTTTATTAAGTTTTAAGGCAATCTAATCATGATCAAAGAGTGCGTTGGGTAGTAAAAAATTTAATGTAAAGTTTATTGAATTAGTTATAAACACATTCTTAGAATTTTCTATGAGATGCAAACATTTACAATGAATTTTATGAACAAATATATAACAACATTTAAATATTTTTATATTGATATTGGTTAACTAAGTTATTATTATTGATTAATGCTTATCATGCCCAATTTTAGTTAGAATTACATTTGTTTATTTGAAATTATTATATAAAAACCGAGATTTAGTTTTGAAAATTTATTCAATTCAAGAATATTCAACAAACTCTCTATAACTATACATCTCTATAAAGTTATTCTCATCGAAAATGAATTTTTCAATTATTGTATTCGTTGTGTTCGCCTGTTATACACAATATGTATATTCACTAAAGTATGTATTAAATTATACTTATTTTAATAAAATTTTGAATCATTAAATATGTCTATAATTATAGCGCAAAAGTGGACTCAATGAAGGGTTTTAAAGCCATTACAAACCCTGATATCTATGACAAAGACATGCGACCAAAATTAGGAGGTATTTGGGATAACAATTACTTTAAACAAATTATAATCTAATTTAAATAAAGAAACCCATAATAATATATGGTAAAATATTTTTTAGAAGGCAACCCTGTGCAAGTCAACATCACAATGTTTGTGATTGACTACACTTTTGATCCAATTAAAAGGGTTTGTAACACATATTATTAAATGATTTATATTTATTTTAAATAATAATTTAATTGAAACGTTTGTATAGGAAATGAATGCAAACATGTATTTCCGCCAGAAGTGGAACGATCCCCGACTCGTCTCTCAGGCCATAACCGCCGATATCGTGGGCGGAGAGTCACTGGCGAACCGGGTTTGGACTCCCGACACATTCTTTGCCAATTCAATGGCTGTAAATGTAATGAAATATCCGTCGCGTAACTCATTCCTTATGGTCAACACAAAGGGTGACGTCTATTATAGCGAAAGGTTTGCCATTAGATTACTTTAAACTATAATTTCATTAATAAATATATTTTTTAGACTTCAGATACAGTTTCGTTGCGGAGCTAAAGTGTCGACCAAAAACGACGAATGCAATCTAGAATTGGAGTCATGTAAGTTATTTACATAACTGTTTTATAATGTGTTAAAATAATTGTTTGATATATATTATAATTAAATTTTTTTTATACATTAAGATGGTTTCAGCATGGTAGATATTCAGTATAATTGGGGTAATTCTCGTAATAACAAGTCAATTGGATTTTCCGCTGACTCCGCTCATCGCAATCAGTATAAATTGACTCAAATATTAAGCAAATATGATTCGGTCACTCTTACAACGGGTCAGCACAATATTATTTTATTTTTGCTTTATATGACCATTGATTAAATATATTGAAATATAATGAAATTTTATATAAATAGGCTCTTATTCACGACTTTTGGCAAATTTCAAACTCGAGTGCAAAGATTGTGTCGACGATTCTGTGGACACTCACAACGTTATTTCAACGGCAATTTAAATTAATATTTACCATAAAATAACTTTTATACTAATATTATATCTATTTTAATAATATTTTTAAATAAAATTTAAAAATAAAATATTGTATTTCTTAATTACTCAAATGTTTTATAAATTTTAATGTATTTTTTGCTAAAAATAAAATTTTGGTTTTGATCATATAATCAATTTTGAATCAATCCATAAACTATATATCTTAAACTATTGTCTAAAATATTGTGTTTGTCGTGGAAGTATTCTTGATTCCACTCACATTAACCTAATCTTGATTTTACAAAACTGTAGTATTTGAAAACATTCAATGTAAATAAATAATTTCTTATTTCACAAATACTAATTAAGAAGCCATAGACATAAGCTGGAATCCCATGTTAAATCTTATATAACGGGGGCGGGAGGGGGATGGGATAGCTGAACGTTTCTATAAACCACATTATTCTATAAAGAATTGTGGTTAATAATATTATTCAGTTATGTTAATTAAATTTTGAATGGAATAATATATTGTTTTGCTTAATAAGTTTTATTTATAAGTTAAACGAGTCCAAAGCCCATCTTCATTTCAATAATATGACTAGCACATTAAATTATTGTTTATAATATCATGTTTGTTTTGAAGTAATTTTGATTTAACACACTATTTATCTAATCTTTATTTGAAAAACATGATTTTGAAAACATATTTCATATAAATTATATTTTATGTAACAAATAGTTTAATTCTTATAATTCAAATATTTTCCATTATTACACATTAATATTTATAATTATTATTTTGATTATCAACTCATAAAATCTTTTCATATAAATATAGAAATTTAATTTAATAGTTATTTATTAAGAAAATAAAATTGAATAGTTTAGCTTTAAAGCAATTTAACTTCACAATTATTAAAAATGAATTATCTACTAATATTACTTGTTATATGTTGTTATACACTACAAATATATTGTAAAAAGTAAAATAACCAAACATTCTTTCTATAATTTATAAAATTTAATGAATTTTTAAACTTTCATTTATTTGTAGTCCAAAAGTGGTTGCAATGAAAACCTTTAAGACTATCACTAATCCTGATATTTATTATCGGGATCTACAGCCAAACAGCGGCGGTAATTATCATTTGATTATATTATAGTTATTATTATATTTATAAAACTAAAAATTTTAAGTTTATATATTAATATTGAATTGAATTCAATGCCAGTGAAAGCAACTGAAGTGGGCATTACATTGTGGATCAATAATTTTGATTTCAACCCATCTAAAGGGGTTTGTAAATAGTTTTATATGTAGTTGAAAATGTATTGCATTTATAAATATTTTAGCACATGTGTAAAAACATGTGCTATGGACAAATGTAATGAAAATTAATAAAATAAAAATTCTAAAAATTCAAACAATACATCAATTGTATGAACTTTACAGGAGATGAGTTTCATCGCATTTTTCCGTCAGAAGTGGAACGATCCGCGACTCGTCTCTCAGGCCATAACAGCCGATGTTGTGGGCGGACAGTCACTGGTGGACAGGGTTTGGATTCCCGACACTTTTTTTGTCAATTCAATAGATGTCGATATATTTAAATACCCGATCCGTAACTCATTCATTAAAGTCAAACCAAATGGTGATGTTTTGTATAGCGAAAGGTTTGTATAATAATTTTAATAGTAAAAAAATAACTGCCGCTATAATGTTTTTAGTCAACATTTACAACACGTTGTATTGTAATTATTATATACAGGATTGAAGTGGAATTCCTTTGCAATTCATACAAAATGCAAACAAACGAAACAGTCGATTGCTATCTGGTTATGGAGTCATGTAAGCCATCAAATATTAGTATAATTTACTATTTAATTATATAATTACAATATAATTAGATAGCTATAGTACGGAGGATATAAAGTACATTTGGTCCGGTGGCAACCACTCTATTTCGGGTGCGATGGCATCGAGTAAATATAAAATAGATCAATTGCAAACTATTACCAAGGTGGAGCACCTATCATCAGGTTGTTTTGGCAATTGCTTATTATTTATAATATTAATATAATTGTTGTTAATTAGCAAATTATTCACGACTTGAGGCCAATTTTAAGCTCACTTGCGATGAATGTGTGGAAAATCTTTAGAGCCCATAATTTCTGATAAACCAATGGTTATATACAGTACGTGGAAATACTGTTTAATTCTATACAATTCTATTGTAGAGTTTATGTTCAATAAATATATCAAGCATAATTTTATTATTTTACATTATTTTACAGAAAAAATAAACAGATTGTGATTTAATTATATTTGTCATAATAAGCAAATAAATAAAATTTTATAATAATAAATCATATCATTGAAATTAAAATTATTATATT